ATTTGTGTACTCTGGCTTTCTCTCAACTGTTGGAAATTTTCTTCTTGTTCATTTTCTTTCTTCTCCAACCATTGCTGTAGTCTCTCTTCTTGTTTCTTTTCTTTTTCCTCCAACAACTGCTGTAATCTCTCTTGTTTATTTTTCTATTCGAGCTGCCACTGTTGTAGGTTTTTTTGCCACTGCTGTTGTCTCTCTTCTTGTTTCTTTTCTCGTTCTTTTTGTTTCTTTTATTTTTCCTCCAACAACTGCTGTAATCTCTCTTCTTGTTTATTTTCTCGTTCTTCTTGTTTCTTTTCTTTTTCTTCCAACAGCTGCTGTAATCTCTCTTGTTTCTTTTTCCTCCAAGAACTGTTGTAATTTTTCTTCTTCTTTCTTTTCTCGTTCTTCTTGTTTCTTTTGCTGTTTTTGTATTGCTGCCATCAAGTCTGCTAAGGTGTAGTTTGATTTGGCACTTCTGGTTTCCATCTTTTTTTCTTTTTTTTTTCAGTCCCACTTCTGACACCAATTTGTTACGTCTCTAGTCGTTTGTTAATTTTCCGTAAAAATTCTTTCTTAAATAAAACTAGTTTATTTTTCCCTGGATACAACTTTGCAATACACTTATTTTCCACAGTCACATTAAACATATGCTATAATTCACAATGATTCACGCACTTACTTGCGGTTACTACCGCGCTTGACTCAGTTGTCTGTCTCTATCTTTACCTGTCTGCAATTCAATTCCGATTAATTTGTCTCGCGTTATCCAGCGCACTTATATACAGGAACAGAGGGCGTGATGTTTTCCGATCCTTCTAGAATATCATGATGTGTTACCAGAGTCACGTGACTACCGCTGTCGTATCAATATCATCACATCAAGCTTTATGGCCATCTTTTAAGAAATTGCAATGCTCATGCATTGTTCTGCAGTCATCTGCAGACTTATTTAGTCAAAAAGGATAAACATTTCGCCATAGTCATTTTGACATGAAGTAATCTCAAAGTAATAAACCATTTTAAAAGAAACATATTTTCAAAAATAATAAAGTTTTAGTATTTCCTGTTCATGTAATAGGTTATCAGATACAAAATTATACGTTTTAGTTTTTTTATATTATTTTCCTTGTAGGTTAAGGGCCTGGCCTGTTGGTCACCATGCACGGACTGTAAATTCAAAGTTCGCAGCTTGTTGCTGCAAAAATGCGCTCTGCAGCTTGGGGCCGTAAGTGTGATATAAGATTGACAGTCAAATACTACTATTCGGTCAGAAAAGAGTAGTCTGAAAGTTGGCAATGAGTGCTATTGACTAGCTGATTTCCCACTAGTCTATCAGCTCAATACTAAAGACATTATTAAGTTTCCAGGCTTATAACGCTTAAAACCGGGTTTTAATAGCTATGGTGAGCACAGCATATAACTCATTGTGTAGCTTTTTGTTTATAAGAAAAATGCATAATCTTTAATTAAAACACAAATGATTGAGTCGTTTGTTTGTTTGTAATTAAGGACGAAGCTACACAATGGGCTATCCGTGCTCTGCCCATCACGGGTATCGAAACCCGGATTCTAGCGTTGTAAGTCCGCAGACATACCGCTGTGCCATTGGGGGGGGGCAAATTGAGTCGCACTATATTTTTTAAAACAATATCTTTTCAAGTTTAATTTTTTTATATTTTAGCAAGTGTTTTACACAAACAATTTTCATCCAGTTGATTTGGTAACACATTTATTTTATTTTTTATGTATGAATCAATATATATTTCGTTGATTAATTTAATATATACATTTATCGTCATATTGTGATAAATTTTTATATTTTCTCACAAACACAAAACTTGTATTTTTAACTTTTCTACTCAGTGTTCTCCTTCTAACTATGCTTTGTTGCCATCTAGCGTTCAGTCACTGAAATACGGTAAGGAATAAGGAGGGCATGTAGGGTTTTACGTGAAAACTGGTGTACATTAAGTTTTAAGGGAGTGTTCCAAATGCCCATGGAAACTCGTTCCAATAGTGCTCTCTTTAAGAGAGCTGAACAGTTAAAAAGATGGGAAGATTCTGAAACCAACACTGAATATGAAATATCGAAAAAAGGACCAGGAAATGTCAAATTTACAGATGGTTGTGTGTTCCTTGCTGCTTGTGCTGCTGGCGACACCGAAGAAGTTGAGCGTCTGCTAACGAAGTCGGCAGATATTAACACGGCCAATGTTGATGGCCTTACAGCGTTACATCAGGTACGTTTTCATTTAACTTTCAGTTTCAACTTTCAAGAGTGTTTAATCATTTATTTATGTATATTTGGTGATAGAAGGATTACTTTTAATAATTTAATTAGTGAAGTCAAATGAATAGTTGAAATCGATAATGTAACTGGATAAAGACATGTTATAAAGATTTACATTAAGTTTTAAATAGAACTAATATCAGTATCACTAGTATTAATACTATGTACTAATAGTAATAGTATCAGTACCTTTAAGGTATAGGCCTAACCGTAACACTGTAACTGTAGACGTAGTGTAACTGTAAATGTAACTAGTGTAGCTACAATCTACAGTTTTTACCCTGGATTATTCAATAGGCAAACGTACTAAACCCAAAATAAACAATTTTCTAATCTATTATGATGAGTGTAGTAGTTGTTAATGTTAATAAACTTATATTCTGTTGCATACAATTATATTTGACGTAAAAAATGACGTGCCAATAATACTGTTACTGTTAGGGTATGAAAGTTGGAAATGTGATTTTAATTTATGAAAATAATTAATGTTCTGTAACTGTAAGTATAACAGTGCAAGTGTAATTTCAGACTTTGGTGCTGGAACATGTACTTATACAGGACAGTGTAATGATACACTTGGAAGTTTAAGTTCAAAATTTACAACTGGGCAATTTTTCTGGTCCTGTGTATGGATGAGTGTCATGTTCTCTGACAGTGTAATAATAATAATCATAATAATAAATTTAAATAAATAAGTTTAATACATGTCAGATGTTTCAGTTGAATGTGTTTAATTTTTCAATAGCCATACCAGAGAAAATAGATAACATATATTTAACTAAGCAGGATATGAGTACAGTTGGGATCATTTAAATAAACATTCTCTAATTAAGGGAGTAATAAATATCAAAATATATTTATTGACCTTTTTGATATATTTGTAGCTACGTGCCCAAGTATTAAAGGTGAGACTTCATAGTCTGTTAGAATACCATATTAAAGAATATTAGTAAACTGGAAAGAATGCAGAGCATGACTTACAGAATGATATCTAAGTTGAATTATATTAAACTTTTGTTGAAAACATATTGCATGAAAATCAATTTTAATTTCATTACAATGTTTTTGTGAGAGATCGATCACCTTGTTAGGTTGAATGGATTACTGTCACAATGTCTTTATGTATCTATTAAGAACTTCTGATTAAAAGTAAGCTTCAGATACACTGTAACTATAGATCAAGGTTAATCAATAACATGAAAGTTAGTGATGCCAATCCTGTATAATATACTGACTACACAGTGGCCAGATATCTAGCACCTGGGAACGATTTTTCAAATACTGAATACCTGGCAGTCCAAAAATTTTAATATTAATGAGCAACTATCATCTCTCAATTGACTCTGAGAATGAGTGATGGTCAATTATGAGACTGATTTGTCTTCATCTTTCAAGCATGATGAAACAATCTGAATAAAACTTTTGTACAGTAAAAATAAATATTGATCATCATTCTTGTTTAGTGTGTGTTTTCTATAAGCTGCTGGGAATGATCCTTGAAATACTTTAATGATCATAAATATTGTTAAACTTCCAATATGATAAAATATCATTATTATTACTAATTATTATCATCATCATTATTATTATAGCTAATCAGTATTCAAATTTTTGGACTGCATGGTATTTAGTATTTCAAAAATCATACCTGGCTATTGGGTATGTAGCCACTGTGTACTGCATGACATAAATTAAGAAAACTAAGACCTATGATGATGATTGGACTGTGTTAAATTATCAATTAAATATGTTAGCAACATTTTCAGCCATAATCCCAATAATATCTAAGAAGAATTGGCCAACTTAAGGGGATTTAGGGCCATTTAGTGATTTACAAAGCCATCATCAGAAGTATGTTAAGTGTAACATTAATTTTAAAATGTTTCAAATTATTTCAAACATTATAAATATTAACATGAATGAAACTAATTATAAAGACAGATGGAGTAGATCAATACTTACAAAATACTAGTTGTTAATTCTTAGGATTTGCACAATTTACAAATACATGAAACCTTAATTTACTCAAAAGTATTAGTAGCAGCTCACCTTTTTCCTTGAAAAACAGGTAGATGTTATAACAAGGGACTAAATATTGTATAATGGAACTCATTATCTGCCTACCAAGAGAATTATGCCAATGCTATGTCACTGATTTCTTAAAGCACACAGTGCTAGCGTAACAAAATCTGTATGTAACAGCAAGTAACTAATTAAAACTGATTTCTCATTTCCAAACTGTGTAACTTTAATTAGTTTGACAATAAAAATAAATGTCTCCAATATGGTATGAGGAAGATAAATAATTTTTATTTATCTTTGATATGGTATCAGGAAGATAAATAATTTTTATTTATTTATGTATATGTGTAAAATGTTAACTTGTAAAATATGAATCATGTAATGAAATTAACTACAGTAACATAATAGAGAAGAGAGTACCTGTATATTTACAAAACTTACTATCAGAAACAAAGACCATGTCTCCCCCACACATAATAAATGAATTGTCAAATTCTAATTACCAATCAAAAATATAAGTTATATTTAGATACTTAAATTATTACCTTAATAACTTGATGTATACAACATTAAGAATGAAATATTTGTAACTTTGAAATAAAAAATGATTTATTTTACTGAAATGTTTGAATTTGAGTTTTGGATTATGGTACTGTGAGTTCTGGAGGTGAGTGTAACAAGAAAACCTAGACATGTTTTTAGAGCAATTATCTCTTTACATGTACCAGAAGCATGTCTAATGTGTTAAGCTTTTATTATGAGTAAAAGTTCAAGTCGGTAGAAAACTGCAACTTCAGGATTAGAAATGCCACTGAGAGAAATTCTATATATTTACTGAAAAATGCATTGGCAAGACTATGAACCAAAAGTTCCACAACTCATAAAATTTTGTTGAGTATGAAACAGTAATTAATTTATGATTAATATTAGTATCAAAACATTTATGTTCAATACCATCTATAATAATAAAAGGGTGTGTCTGTGTGTGACCTCCATAGCTCCAAGAGGAAAGAACCTAGAAACCTGAAATTCTGCACCTATACTAAGTGGACCCTGAGGATGTGCACTTGGGTATTATTACTTATCCACATGCTTGTGCTCATGCACATCTTTTTAAGAGGCAAGCTAGCAAAAAAATACATAGAAAAGAAGTGTGACCACCATACCCCAAAGAGGAAAGAACCTAAAAACCTGAAATTTCACACCCATACTAAGCAGACCCTGAGGGTGTGCACCTGGGTATTATTACTTATCCACGTGTGTGCACATCTTTTTAATGAGGCAAGCTAGTGAAAAACCACATTGAAAAGAAGTGTTTCCTTATATAACAACTTTTAATATATATAGAAAAGTCACTGCATTCCAACAATGGCTTTTATGTCATGTCACTTAGCAACAAACTTATAACCTAATATTGTTGTTATTCTATGTACTGAGAGTATAAAATGAAACGTATAACCTACAAAATTGAAAAAAATATTTGTTGATTACTTATTCAGAGTCTCCATTGATTAAAGAGGTTTGTTTTTATTATTGAAGTTTATAATTAGATCAGTATTTTTACTTTCATGATAAATTTTATGCACTTGGCTCTAGGCTAGATTATCTAAAACTATGTCTTTACTTTAGCCTTGTTTATTAATTTTTGCAGCTCATACCAACATTCACTACACTTACAAGGCTTTATGGCAACCCCCATCATGGCCCCTTGCACCCCTGTTGCTAAAATCATAATGGGCAGACATTAATCGATTGGTAAAAAATTGTAATAGATTCTGACAAAAATGTGATATCAAATATAAATGTGAAATATTTAATGCAATGATAAAGTTCATTAATAATAAATAATTCTTAATTTACTGTACTTTCTTTGTGACTTTCTTACGTTTCTGGGAAATAAAAATATTTAAAATATTTTTGAATGTTTTTCTATGCTAAAATAGAAAATAGTACTGAGTGAAGCTGGGTACTTTTGATAGTAAAGTAATAATCATCCAGAGTTGTTAAAAGATTTTGATACTGTTGATGAATGCGTTATTGAAATTGGATTAGTGAGAGGATTATTATAAATACTGTTGAAATCAATAGTGTCAATTGTTTTTGTATTGAAATCTTGCATTTCTTTCATTGAATTCAGTAGAATTACTGATGATGAGCAATACTACTTTCTTTGTATATGTTCTACAAGATTTTAGTCCTTAACAAAGGCTTAAACTTGTATCTTTTTCTCTGGAATGTGAAGAAACTGGAGGTGGGAAGGTCTACAGGTGATTCATTTGATTGAAATTGTTAGTCTTGGATGCCTCTTGGAAGATGTTTCTGTAGGTGGTGTAATGATAACATGGGAAATGAGATCTTTAATACTAAAAATAGTAAATGATCTGTCCTGGTTTTAGGTACTGTAAAATAGAGGTGCAGTATAAGCAGAATGTCCCATTATCCTTATACTCAACCAAATGGCAGTATCAGTCATATATTGTATGACCAACGGATGCTCTATCATATGAAGTAGACCTTTGATGCCACATGCCAAGATTAAAGTTAGATTTGTAACAAATTACTGTCTGGCTAGTGATGCAGTAGGATGCAACTGACATTTTGAGAAGTATTCCTAAGTATACCATCTTTCCTTTTTGAGCTGATAAATGCAAAATGTTAAATCATGAGGGAATCCTTTAAAAGTATAGGGAAGTCAGACAGTGCAGCAGAAGTTGTATGCAGCATGCTTTAAAACATCTTTCTTTACCTCAATAACCACGTAACATATAGCACTCATTGTTTGAATCACAAGGAAAAAATGGGTAATACCTAGGGTAAAGAAAGCCTTTTATGGACATAGATATATGCTGCTTGAAGCAACGAATCCATTATACCAACATTAGTGACCACTGTTGATGGAGAAGTGCACTTTCCTTGTGTTGATGCCTT